AAAGTGTATAAATAAGTTACCCAAATGTCCGGTCCATGTTTTTGAGCAGATTTGTAATACAAATCTGCTCACATGATAAGTTAAGCCATACCAGACTTGACTGGACATTTGCAACTTTGGACCAAACTTAAAACCAGACATATATATATATCGATATATATTCAGACTCGAACTAGTTTGCAAACTTTGGACCAGACCGGACCAGACTCATAATTAAGTTTGAGTCTGGTCTGAAGTTCGAAACTAGTAAAATTTAGAGTCTGAGTCTGGTTCGGTTCCGGGCCAGACCCGGACCGGACCTAGGAGCACTAGTAGTAGTAAATGAAGTTGAAAGCTATTTGGCTCTTAATCCAACTTCAAGTAATCAAAATACTCTAGTTTGGTGGGAAGGACAAAAAGATCCATTTCCAGATTCTTAGCCAATTGGCTAGAAAATATCATGGAATTGCTGCAGCTTCTACCTCTAGTGAGCGATTGTTTTCCGATGCTAGAAATTTGATGACTAATAAAAGAACTCGATTAAATTTTGAACTTTTTAAAACAATGGTCTTTTTAAAAAGAAATATTAAAGTTGCAAATTCTATGTTTCCTGATAATGATTAAATTAGCTAGCGTTATGGTGTTTTTTTTAAACATATAAATATATCTATTTTATATCTATTTTTGAATCTTATATTTTTTAAACAGTTCTTTATCTTTTTTATCTTTAAAATTATATATATATTTATATATATATATTTTCAATATATTACTATATCGTACTGTTAAGAGCTTAGGTTTGATCCAAAATAGTAAATAAAGATTATTGATACTTGGAGGCATTTTAATTGATAACGATAATAAATATTCTTATATTAAAGTTTTATTGATACTAATCTAATTTAAGTTATATTGATACTAATCTAATTTAAGTTATATTCTAATAATATATTTAGAGTCAACTTGATTAATAATTACTAATAAATTATAATATATGGGGTCTGTATTATTTCGCCAACAATTATTCACTAAACAAGTTCATTTTGCCGACAGTCACTGAAGCTCATTTCACTAAGTTTTTTTTTTATAAATTACACTAACTTTAGCTTAAATTCTAATCTAACCCTAATGATATTGACCAGAATTACTTTGTCTGTAAAATGAGCTTCAGTGGAATTAACAGTCGGCAAAATGAACTTGTCAGTAACTATTTGTTGGTGAAATGTGGTATCTACGAAGTGATTTTCAGTGAGTTGATCGGATCCTATTATAAAAATTATTAGTAACAAAATAATATAGTATTTTCTTATGCTTAGGGATATATAAAAATTTAAATAATTCATAGAGTTTCACCGGTTAGCCGAAGGTTTAATTAGAGTTAACCGGTTACAGATTTTTTTCAACGAGTTTAGTTATTGATTAACTGGTTTGATCCGGTTTAGATCACTAATCCTTGTATTGCTATCATAGTTACGGTGCTTAATTACCAAATATAAGGCCATAGAGCCTAATCGCAATGTAATATTCTTGCATTGCTATTGTAGTCACGGAACCTAATCACAACATGAGATCCTTGTATTGCTATCGTAGTTACAATGCTTAATCACAAAACATGAGGCTCTTGCATTACTGCGGCAGCCATAGAGCCAAATCACAACACAAGGTCCTTGTATAACTACCACAGCCATGAAGCTAATCAAAACGTGAAATCCTTGTACTACTTCCATAGTTGTGGACTCTAAAAAAAAAACAATTAGATTCTATTCAGATTTAGTTCAGATTATTATTTTAAAAATAAGCATTTTCGTAATAAAAATCCGAACAAAATTTGACCTTTTTTTATAGGGGGCTCAAACATCAAACACGAAGTTCTTGCATTGCCTGCAGCAGTTATAGAGCCTAATCATGATATGAGATCCTTGCATTGCTATCGCAGCAATGGAGTCTAATCACAACATGAGGTCCTTGTGCTGTGTAATACAATATTAATAGTACACTCATCTCTAACTACCTTTAAGCAACTCAAGCGTCTAGTTCATAGTCTAAGAATCATATGCAATTATATTATTAACTGAAAATACTTGTATCTAACAAGAAACGATAAGACCATAGACAAATTTCATAAACAACAACTTGAATGTGTGATTCCATAAAGTCATCTGATCTCGCAATAATGATCGCCCTGTCACTTCGTTGACAGGCTTTTTAAAATAAGTGTTTGCCAGGGGCATGCCCTGGGTCACAACCCTAGTCCCATAGCACAGTACCCAAAGAATATAAAAAGTCACAATTTTTTAAATTTAAATATTTTTTCCTCCACTACTCTTACAATATTTTAATTTTTTCTTTGTCTTTTCTTCATTACGCTTACCATGATGATGATGTTGATTCCCTGCTTGATTATATTACTGTTTATTAATTCAATTGTGGCTGATGTCACTATCACATCTGTACCTTCTGCGGGTTTGCCTTCTAATCAATATATTATTGAAAATCAACTGCCTCTTTCTGAACAAACACATGAACTGGTCAAAGTGGAAGATATTGTCCTTGTTTCGCAAATGTCGAACAGTGTTTTGGTGAAAGTTCAAGTCGACAAATATGGCATCGCTCAACATGTGGCGGGCTTCCAAATTGCAAATTCCACCTCTGGTTTACATGGTTTGGCCCACTCCACCAAGAACCCTGGCATGGTGTGGCTCACATTAGAAACGGACAACAAATTGTTGTTGATTGATCCTGTGACGGCATCGGTTACGGATGCTCCCAAGGTGATTAAAGAAATCAATGTACCCCAGCCTGGCAATGGTCCTCATTACATTGGTGAATATGAAACCAATCTCTGAGTCAGTCTCAAGGAAAGCTATGATGTGTTGCGCATCAACTATGAGAATTCCACCGATTACAACATTTACAAAGGTGTCGCCCATCCTATTTTTATCGCCCAACATCCTATAAACAAGATGTTCTATTCTGGTGAAGATGATTCCAGCAAAATCATAAAAATCAACCCTGCAACTGGCAATACCATCCAAATTGATGTCGATTCCAGTGCTGGTACAACCCCCGTTGGCATGATCAGTGGTCCTAAGGGTATCTGGTTCACTCTTCTTGGTAATGCAACAGCTGGCACAGGTACCTTTGGTTTCATCGATCAAGATGACAAGATTGTGTACCACAAACTCACGTCTCCCTTAGGCAAGGATGCTGCCTTGTTGCATCTTGCATTTGATGTTGCTTACGAAACCAATTACAAGATGTATCTCTTGTCCTCTTCAATCGACAACCCGAATGCTTTGGATATGGTCATCAAGGTCACCTTTGATGAGCAATGGACCACCATCAAGGATGAAGAGGTCATTGTGATTCCTACACAGCAATGCAAAGCCCATCGTCTTTTACCTACTCAATTCAATGTCTTTGCTACTGAACTCGCCGCCTCCAAATTTTTAACCTTGTTTAGTCCTTAATGCTTTTTTTTGTTAGAGTTGTTCATGCATGCTTTCTCTTTTATTAACTAGTTCAATGGGTGGCGCTTCGCGCCACCCATCTTATTTGTTTAATCAAACAAGTTCTACGCCTGCTCATGCGCTGGGAGTTTTTTTAAATATTTCTTGTCAAGGTTTATTTGTCGACAGGAGTGTTCTTTCGTACAAACTAATCGTGCAAAGCAAATCGAATAAACATACGGACGAAAATTTAATAATATTGCCGTACACTTCACTCAATGGATTTTTAATTAGTCGGAAAATTAACTAAATTAACCAAATGAGTTACCATTTCGATGAGTAAATAAGCGAGACACAAACCTTTTTCTTCAAAAATTTACCATCGATAAAGGTCTCTCAAGCATTATTTTTACATATTTTACATATTAAACATAATAA